TGGTGAGCGCTGTGAATTGTGCAAGACTGTTGCATCACAGATCTGTATCTCTGAAACAAATAATGCAATATATGTTAAAAAAAAAATAAAGAAGTAGATAGCAGGAGGGGAAGAATGAAGGGGGGGAAATCGGAGTGGGAGATGAACCATGAGACCTGATGGACTCTGAAAAACAAACTAAGGGTTCTAGAGGTGAGGGGGTGGGGGGATGGGTTAGCCTGGTGATGGGTATTAAAGAGTGCACATTCTGTGTGGAGCACTGGGTGTTATAAAATAATAAAGAAAAAAGAAAAAAATGTGAGAAAACACAAACAGCGTCCATTTCTTTGCCCTCCAGCAAGGTCACCCCAGAATGTATGTAGTAGATTATTTCCTTAGTTTTTCCTTTTATAAAAATTGAAATGAAATTCAAATAACATAAAATTCACCATCTTAAAGTGTATCATTCAGTGGCATTTACTACATTCACAATATTGTGCAACCATCATTTCTATGTAGCTCTAAAACATATTTTAATCACCCACAAATTCCTTAGTTTTTTACGTCCTCCTTGTTCGTTTGTGTTTTTTTTTTAGATGTATTTAGAGGGGAATGTGGCAGCGCCACAAAATAATGCTACTGCCTTCAAATACTTTTCCATGGCAGCCAGTAAGGTATGTCTTCAGCCCATTCCTATAAGCCCAGAAAAACATTTGGCTTTTATTACATGCAGACTGATGCCAAAAAGTTAATTCCAAAGCCCCATGCCCAGCTAATGAGCCTGGGAGTTCTGTGTCCTGGAGAAGAAGAATATCACTGGCAATGAAATAGGGTGTTGGTGTAGGGGGAGACATCACTTGTCTTCTTAGTAAATGAAAAATGGCAGCGACATACGCTGCGCTAGCAGGGGGCCAGACAAATCTCAGCTTCCCCTCCCCTGTGCAGTAGGTGAGGCCATCTAGCTCAGGAAACAGGAAATAAAAGGGACAAGGACAGAGGAAGGGAAAACTCAAACAACGTCTGCAGTAAGTTCAGGAGAAAGACAAACAAGAAGTGCCCATTGTTTTCCAGTTTGATCTCCCCCAAAGGCCAGAAAGTCCCCTCGCCCAAGCAGAAGATCATCAGACAGGGGACCGGGACAAGATGGTTGAGAGCATGGCTCTGGAGGCAGAATCTGTGGTTTAAATGCCAGCCCTGCAGCACACTGCCTGTGTGGCCATGGGCAAGTTACATAACCTCTCTGTGCCTCGATTTCCCCATCTGTCAAATGGGAATATAAGTTTGCCTCATAATGTTGTTGCCAGGATTTAATAGGTTAATATTTATGGGCCTGGTATTGCAAAGTCCTTAAAGCAATAATTCCTGGCTTACAGTAGACACAGTGTATCAGCTATTATCTTGTGAGGTGGTGTGAACCTTAAAGCATATCCAAGCCAGAACTGATTGGACCTGTGAGGGAATATAAAAATGGAATAATATGGCTCCTGCCATGAAAATTTTTGTCTTGATTCCTGGGCTCAGTGAGCTGGCATCTGTCTGATAAAACGTAGTAGACTACTCTGAATCCCTTCGGTGCATTAAGAACATCCTCACTGCCACACTCATCAGCCTAATGTTGGGGAATGGCCCTAATAAACTTTCTAACCCTGCACAGTAGGAAGCATTGTGTTGCCTTACAACCCCATACTGCAACACTGGGAGTAAAGATGTGCTCAAATTGGGGAATATTTTCAACTGCTCTCAGTTTTTAAAAGCCCACACACTGCTTTAGGAGCCTATTTATAAATGACTAGCACCTCGGAGCTGCTGCTATTGTGGTGTAAATTACTGAGAAGGCTGGTACTCAGCTCCTCTCCCTTGTAATTTATAAGAAATTCTTGCTCAGCAGGCTGGTTATCTGGAGTACCATTAGATTAGGATGACAAGGGAAAGCCAACTGAAAAGAAGGTGGGGTAATGTAACAGAGGAAGAGCTCTTGTAATCTGGCAAATAACGCTGATTTGTCAGCCCAAAGGAATAATGCCAGGAGGCTGGATGTGTAAATTAACCCAGCTCCCAAGCTATTCAGGGCTGTGTAACCAGCAGGGATCTGAGCTACTTGTGTTCTAAAACTGAGCTACCTTTCTTTACAGAGAAAATCTGAAATTATATTTAGATTATTCTGAATGGCATCAGGTGGACATGACCGTATATATTCCTTTATCATCACCTGGATGGTTTATTAGATTTCTCACTTGGGGTCACTACCAAAGTAAAGGGTTTCTGTCTTCCACTCTGCATATCCACACTTTTCTTTTACTACTTAAAAAAAAAAAGTACACACACACACACATACGTTTTTTTAAATTTTATTATGTTATGTTAATCACCACACATTACATCATTAGTTTTGATGTAGTGTGCCATGATTCATTGTTTGTGCATAACACCCAGTGCTCCACGCAGAACGTGCCCTCCTTAATACCCATCACCAGGCTAACCCATCCCCCTACGCCCCTCCCCTCTAGAACCCTCAGTTTGTTTCTCAGAGTCCATAGTCTCTCATGGTTCATCTCCCCCTCCGATTCCCATCCCCTTCATTTTTCCCTTCCTACTATCTTCTTTTTTTTTTTTTTAACATATAATGTATTATTTGTTTCAGAGGTACACGTCTGTGATTCAACAGTCTTACACAATTCACAGCGCTCACCATAGCACATACCCTCCCCAATGTCTATAACCATACATACGTTTTTAAATTTGTTTTTAAGTCACATCAGTACCAGAATGCAAAGCTACAGTCTTTGTGATTTCTTTTATCTTATTTACTCAGAAACATGAGCAGTTATCCTGTTTGGTCCATATTGGACCATATTCTTCTGCTTTTCTCTTTTTTTATGATTTTATTTATTTATTTGTCAGAGAGAGAGAGAGAGCACAAGCAGAGGGAGCAGCAGGAAGAGGCAGAGGGAGAAGCAGGCTCCCTGCTGAGCAAGGAGCCTAATGTGGAACTCAATCCCAGGACTCTGGGATCATGACCTGAGCCAAAGGCAGACACCTAACCAACTGAGCCACCCAGGAGTGCCCTTCTGCTTTTCTCTTTCACACCTCTGAACACATCAGGCCCATCCTCATCTTCACACTTTTCTCATTTTACTTCCCTTCCCCAAATCCCCCATTCTGAATCCTACCCATCCCCCAGAGGAGAGCTCAATCCTCTCTCCTTCCACAAAGCCATCTCTACCCACCTTGGTTCATACAATTTTCCCCTCTTCTGCACTTGCCCTACATTCACTCTCTGTACTGCTGGAACTTTACTGCTTCTACCTTGTGCCTTCTCTCATACTGTCTGAAGACCATGTCTCCTCAACTAGAGGAGGATGGTGGTCTTACTACCTAGTAGAGGCTCATTAAATGTTTGACAAATAAATGACCATCTGCTCTCTAAGTTCATGTCAGTTAACCTAAGCAAGAGCTCTGAGCCCTGAAGTGGAAGTTATATATGGGGGGATTGCCTATACATATGTTCTGTTTGGCCCAGAAAGTGTTTCAAAGAGTAGGAAACCTCACATGGTGACAGATAGTAGCTACGCTTGCAGTGAGCATAGCATAACATATAGACCTATACACCTGAAACTAATGTAACACCGTGTGTCAACTATACTGAAGAACAAAGATTAGGACATGTCATATAAAAGTCTGGACATCCAGCTTTTCTTGGAAAATGGGAAGACCTGACTAGCTCAGGCTGCCATTCTATGTGACAACAGTGGTCTGGAGCAGAGAGCGGAGGGGTTGCTGCTGCCTTGAGACGGGGCAGGAACCCTCTCTTTTGTCTCAGTCTCTGTCGCTCTATCGCCTGGATTAATGTACTTCTTAAGGTACCTGAATGGCTCCTGGAGGTATATCTGAATTGGCTACTCCTGACCTGAAAGTTATAAATAAGTCCTCTGGTCTTTATGCAGTTGGTGAGTCAAAAGTTAGAACCTGTACCCTATTTTCTCCCTTCCTCCTTCCCTCTTCTTATTTCCCTTCCCTTCCATTTTTCTCAAGACCTAAAATGAGGATAGTTGGAAGACAGACTCACCAGACTTTACCACATCCATCACAGCAGGCCTTACTACCCTCAGACTAGACCATCCCAAGAGTCCTAGGACCACAGGTAGATGTAGTCATGGAAACAAGCGGGAAGAAGAGAGCAGCTGTATTCCACCTGTTTTAAATACAGCTGGACCATCCTTAAGAATTCTTATAATAGCTGGCCCTTTGGTATGCATAAGCTCAAACTTTGGAGTTTTGAAATTGTTTTTCAACTATGCCTTCTCTAGTTATATGCTATTCTTGTATCACTGAGAGGTACTCTGGCTGCATCCACAATAACTCCATTTAGGAGGTAAGAAGAAATCTGGAGAGCTTTCAATCAAAACTTGAGTTCCTGAGGAAATACTATAAACCTGTAAAACAAACTTACAGGTCTGCTAAATGACAGGTGGGCCAAATGTCCCTCCTCACTCAGTCACGAAAGAGTGAAATACATGATGGGAGACAAAAAGAAAAGTGAGTTTCCTGGTTGGGGAAGTCACTTTTAAGGTTCACTCTTCATCCCGATTGATATGCTAAATATCAATATATTTGAACATGCATTGAATGCTAAAACATGCTAAAAACTCTCTTCCCTAGACTGTTTAGAATACTAATTAGAAAAAGAAATGGTAATTAATTTAGCATCAAGTGGAAAAGAAGACATTGATGATGTTATAAGCAGTCAAATTTGAATAAAGAAACATATTTGAATAAAGATATACCAACAGTGCTTTACCATCCATAATGGCTAGATTGAAATTCACAGAATCTCTAAAATGTTAATTGGCCATTTACATCAACCTCCTTTGACCAAAGCAGGTAACGTGTCTGGATAGACTTCCTTCTGGAAAGCTCCTACACATCCTTCAAGACCAAGCTCAAATGTCAACCACCTTTGACAACTCAATCCCCTCAGTCCCTAGGCTTATCTAGGCTGTTGATGTCCACAACAATATACAACTAGGTGTCCACAACATTCCTGAATCTGATTCTACTATAGGACTTACCACATTTGACTTGGCTATTTTAAGAGGCGCTACCTAGTTGATCAGAGCCCACTAGCCAGTGAACTCTCTGAGGCAGGGATCATCGTTCATTCATCTTTTAACTTTCACCTCCTACCTCAGTCCAACACCTATTATGGAGTCACACACAAAGCAAGCACTAAATAAATGCTGAGTGAAAGAATGGAGAAAAGATTTGACCTTCATTTCCCTCTTTTCTAGTCAAAGGGGGTTATGAAGGTATGAAAGGAGAAACTAGAGAGAGACAGAGTAATTTACCAACTGCCTGATTAACTTGCCTTGATTTAATCCCCTATTGGGTACATTTTAAATATTTAGAATGATTTTGTCATAATTTTCCTCATCATGAATTCTTCTGGGACTTTACTTGGATTTTTAAAACTGTTCCAGGGCAATGCAATTGGTCTTCATGGGCTTGGTCTTCTTCACTTTTATGGGAAAGGAGTTCCTGTGGTAAGTTAAAAAATTTCTTTATCTTTTCAACACATTTCTAGCAATTTATAGGGTAAAATTCATGATCGTTGACTAATTAAAATGAATTAGTCTTTAATATCTGGTTTGCCAAACTATCATATTTGACAATAGAAAATATAAAAATCTAGTGGAATATTTGCCAAAGAGACATAGAACAGATCTGTGACAAGAATAACAACCCTAATTATATCTTAGAATTATAGATTCTAAGTAACCTTATTAATCATACAACCTCCGAGGATTTTTTTCTGATAGAGAAATTTATCTTCTTAGTGTAACCTCTGCCTTTTGAGTGATCTTCCTCCAATATTTAACAAAACCTACTGTCAGTGTAGGAAAAGACATAATTTACAGTGAAAATGAGATAATTATTTCCAAATAGAATCCAATATAATAATGAAATAAAGTATATGATACTTCTGATACTATTTTAATTAGCCTAAATCACATAAAGCACTATCTATACTCTTTTTTTTTTAAGTGGAAGGCAATTGTTACCATGGAGTTATAAATACACCTTTGAGTAATAGAGTGTAATTATCTTGCAGAATTATGCTGAAGCACTTAAATACTTTCAGAAAGCTGCAGAGAAAGGATGGCCCAATGCACAGTTTCAATTAGGCTTCATGTACTACTGTAAGTGCTACAAATATGGCTGCTATACCAAGAATGACAAATGCATTATTAAGTCTACTCCTTTTTTAACAAAGATCAAATTGTTGGAGTGATTAGTTTAGATAGAATATTGAGGCAGCAATTGAAGGAGGAATTTGAAGACTTAAGAAGAGGACACCAGTTGAGGGAGGAAGCAAGGAGGTACAGTCAGGAAGCTCACTTTTGAAAAGGTTGAGTTTGGGGTGCCTTGTGATATCCAATGGGCATACCCAAAAGCAGTTATGAAACTCACAAGAAAAGTCAGACTTGAAGAGAAAGATTTGGGAGGCATCAACATACAGGAGTTAGTTAAAAGTAGCTGAGACACTCAAAAATAAAAGAGGGAGAGCATGAGAGGAACAGTGGGCCATGGTCAGAAATCTGGTAGTCCTCAGTGTTGTACTGAAAAGATGGGCAGAGAAAGAGTAGTCACAAAAAGACTTAAAAGGCATGGTCAAAGGCGTAAGAGGGAAAAGTAATCTTAGGAAGCCACAGGATATAACTTTCAAGAAAGAATAAATGAATGATCACCCCTGTGAAATGCAATGAGAAGCCTGCTTCTTCAAAACAAAAACAAAAACAAACAAATAAGAAAGGGCTGAGAATCCATGAGACTTGTCAATATAGAGAATGTTTGTGTGGTCGTTGGACTGGTTGGGGTAGAAGCCACATAGGATGGATTGAGGTATGAATAGAAGATGAGAAAGTAGATGAGTAAAAATATTCTTGGAAGTTGTGTGCCTTTAAATGGAAGAAGAGAGATGGAACAGTGGCATGAGGGGGACTAAGAACCAAGAGGGAGTTCTTTTTAAGATGATGAGAGACCTGGGTATAATTTTTGTCAAAAAAAGAGCCAGTCAATGGAGATGGTTAATGTGTCTTGGGAGTGATGAGATAATTGGTGAAGAAGTTCTAGAAAAAGTTGGGTGGCATTAGGATCTGATTGCACTCAGCTAGGTGGAGCCCTCCTTAGTCTTGATAAAGAGGAGGGATTTCTCACTCTCAAAGACTGGAGAGTTGGAGGAAAGGATGGTGCAGATGTAAATGTGGAAGGAGGAAGAGAGAGGCAAGTGAGAAAAGACAATGTAAGAATTTCCTCAAGGAGCCAGGAGGTACCAAGTTGTCTTCTGAGAGCAAAGGTAGAGTGATTGGGGTAGGAGGTCTCAGAAAGCCGTGAAAGTTTGTAATGCTCTGTGGGGATTGAGAGAAGGAGTGCCCAAGATGAGTACCAAGAGATCTGAACACGCCTGAGTATCCGAAGTCCTTCCTTTCAGACGTGGAGCTAGGGTAGCAGCAGATTGCATCATCGGCAGGCCCAGGATCTATCAGATTCCTCAAGCCTCTAGAATAAGAGTAATAGTAATGTTTATTAAGTCTTTATGTGTATTTACTCATTTAGTCCTCTCAACACGTGTAGGGGTATCCTACAGTTTATAGATGAGCAAACTGAGGCACATCAAGGTCCAACAGCTTGCCCAAGATCACACAGTTAGTGGAACTGGGATTCAAACCCAAGTGATTTGCCTCCAGAGTCTTTGCTCTTAGTGGCACTGCTTCTAAAGCTTATGAAATGTTGAGAACTGGAAGACAGGTTAAGGACCATCTAGTGAAAGCCTCTCCTTTTACAAATGAAGTGCCTAGAGGTGCCCAACTTACAAAGGGGTAATGAGAGAGCCAGGACAAGCTGCTGAGAGTGTGCTGATTTTCCACCCTAGCCCTAAATGCCTCTCCTTGCTACTACAAGCATGAGTTGAGTCTGAGCTGGGCCTCCGGGAGCTGCAGTTCGCCCGCTCCAAACTCTGTAATTAGGGCTGGGAGGAGCTCTACCGGTCTTCTGGTATGGAAGGACAAGAATGGTGAGCCACGTCCTGATGTTTTCCCTGGTCCTCAGAGACCACCTCTTGTTCTCCTTTTTATTAACCTTAGGTGTGCCATATTAAGGAGATATTTTCATGAGACTGAAGAGTCTTTCTTCTTCAGGTTTCTGAATGGGTCAAGAACATAAATTTCCATATTCTTCCTTATAATCAAACTTAACTTCTTTCCCCTCCAAATAATGGATCTATAACAGCTTGACTTTTGGTTGGTTTTTCTCATCCTACTTTTGGCTAAGATCAAGTGTAAAACAGTAAGCATCACTGTGACCATTATACCCATAGATTATAACATAAAAAATAAAACGAATAAGGGGTGGCTCAAAATAATTTTAATTTTCAGCTGGCTCTGGAGTGTGGAAGGATTATAAACTTGCCTTCAAATATTTTTACTTGGCATCTCAGAGTGGGCAACCCCTTGCCATTTATTACCTGGCCAAGATGTACGCGACAGGAACGGGAGTGTTAAGATCGTGCAGAACTGCTGTGGAGGTAAATAATGGGATGTTTCTAAAGCGTTCTTCATTTATCACAGAGAGGAGGTGATACTGTCCTTAAGTTGTTGGTGCTTTTGATTTTATAGGTATTACCTCTCCCAGTTGAGAGTGTGAACACGGACACTTGCCAGGGTGGAAAAGCTGTGATGTAAACGTAACTTGGGCTGGGAAAGGGAAGAAGAGAAATGATCCCTCCTCTCTTGCTTTTGGCTTTTCATCAGGTTCAGAGCTCACCTCAGAATTCAGTTAAGGGGCTCGGTCTCAGCCTTCAGTCAAATGGCCAGGGCATTTTGGCACTTCTCAGTGGGATTGGGAGTTGTGACTTGGGAAATGAAAGGCTTGGTTGAGCCCAGAAAATGTAGCCCACTTCTTCCCAGAAAGCAAGGCCCTTAGGTTCTTGATGATTTGGATGACAACTAAGAAAGTGAATCCTTTCAGCCCGAGCCAGGGGTTGGGCTTTTCAAAGGAAAGCTTTTAGGACCTTAATGCCCTTCATTGATTTATTAAACACTTCCGCTGCACCAATATAAATACCTCCATGTTGCAATCTGGCCCCTCTGAAACTCATTTCAAAAGCTGCCAGCTAATAATCTATCTTTAGATTTGCTCCTTTGCCAACTTCCTAATGAATTATGTATGGCTAACCTCTTTTGGTTACATAAGGGCTATTCAGCTAAGTTGACGCTTGTCCCCACAGAGCTCTGCACACCTCCCTCGCGGTTATGTCACCTACACCCTCAGGCACTGTCTTCCCTTCATTCTCTCCTTCCCACATCAGCTGTGGCCTTACAACTCACCCTGGCAGAGCAGCAGTTCCCAGAAAATCCTTTTTAAAAAAAATAGAAGTCGATACATTCTTGTCCTGCCAAATAGCCTATAAGTCAGGAGAGTTTATTACATAAATTTAAAATGAGCCTCAGGAAGTTTCAGCTCAAGACCAAAAAATATACACTTGTAATCTTTGTGCCTATGAAAGCTATTATCTCTTCCCCCTAAATAATTTTCAGAAGCCATGTTTTAGACCCAAACTCCTTGCCTGACCAGCCAGCAAAAGCTGAAGATTGACTTCATTTATCATTTGCCTGGGATGAAGTATATCGGCTAACTAGTCTGCTTGATTTCTTTTTCCATGTACAGCTTTATAAAGGTGTCTGTGAACTAGGCCACTGGGCTGAGAAATTCCTGACAGCATACTTTGCCTATAAAGATGGTGATATAGATTCTTCTCTTGTTCAGTATGCACTACTTGCAGAAATGGGGTATGAAGTAGCTCAAAGCAATTCAGCATTCATTTTGGAATCTAGTAAGATAAGTTAAAATTCTCTGCAATTCCCCAATCATACATATGCATAAATGACTTTACTACATGGGTATTTTAAGCCTTCCTAATGAAATGTCTCCTTTTTTTAGAAAAGGCTAAAATTCTTGAAAAAGAGAAGATGTATCCAATGGCACTTCTCCTATGGAATCGAGCTGCCATTCAAGGTACAGAACCTAGATAAAAATGAGCATACACCTGGTCCCTGCCCACTATTAGTCATCGATTTGCTCCAGCTGGGTTCTTGGGCATATAAGCAGAAAGCTGCAGGTTATCCAATTAGGTGGTCTTTCGAACTGTACCAATCTTAGGGTCAATCTTTGGTGAGGGGTCATTTCCAGGAATTTCTTTTCTTTGTTATTTTCAAGGTCCCTGGTTTGGTAAACCATAGGAATTTTTCTATGGCTCAGTCTCCATGGCACCAGAGCCGTTGTCTGAAACATCAGTTTTACTCAGGAAACCAGTTTTCTTGTTCTGACTTCAGTCACTCATTTGCTGAGTTTTCTTCTGAACTTATCAGAGAAGTGACCTATGTCTTAATGAATTTATAGGCAAAATTATTCATGGATCTACGACTCACTTGATTGCTCTTTTAAAATACCACATTGATGATTACTACAAACTTCAGATCTTTATTATAACTGTTAACATGTTAGCACTAGAAAACAAAACAGAACAAAACCCAGAGTCAAACATCAAGATCCTCTCCCTGTGCCCAGCTTACAGGGTTCACATGTGATGAAGAATATACAGTAGCACTGGTGGGAAAGCATTGGCAGGTGGCATTAGTAAAAGCAAACAGATGCTGCAAAGCTCTCACGATCAGGATTTGGATATTTGAGGAACCCTCATGCAGTAAAAGAGCAATTTTTATTTACGATTAAGTTTCTTAAAAGTGTCTCATGGTAAGGTCGAATCATCTCTTTCCACACGAAGGGAATGGGATAAAAAATAATTCTCAGCTGACACTAATATGAAGCCAAGGGGAAAATTCACAGGGGTGCCTTCGCAGATCCAGCTGAGCCGGTGACGGAGCAGCAAGCCATCCATGCGATTTTAGCGAGAAATTCCCTACAGAAGAAAAGTGTGTGTTTTCTAAAATGCAATAAAGACCTTGTTTGGCATAGGGAAACAACACCAATCTCTCAGCCCTGGCAAATCAGCTCAATTGCAGCAAATACAGGCTTATTCCAAGCCAGGAAATGTGTGGAAATTGCACCAAAGAAAGGAGACATTGAAAGCGGGGACATTAATATTAAAACAGAATTCACCAATATAAAAAAAAGTCAAGATGCTAAAAATAATTATGTGTCACAAGAGAGGTCAGGCATGAATGTCCTTGGAGATGAGGCTGCTGAGTGCCTCACTTGAGGTTAGGAAACGTAATAATGAACGTATCTAATCAGCGCTGGTGGTGCTTCTTTCAGCAGTGGCTGTGTGTGAAGAGAGTGCTGACCCATCAGGACTCAGTCACCATGCTGTGATGTGAAATTCAAGGGGGGAATCCTTCCCACTGTCAAGTGACCCCCTGAGAGCCTGTCAGGGTTACCATATGTCCCCAGTCAGCCCCTTAATTACAGTGGAACTGACTCCTCTGGAAAACCTGCTCATTCACTGCCTTCCAGCTCAGGGACTTCAGAGGTCCTACTTACCGCTTAAATGCACCAGAAGTCCTGTCCTTTTGTGGTTATGGCCCAGAAAGAATCTTTAGGTCAATGGAGGGCAGCTTTGGGCAAAATTAGAAATGGTGTGGGTTTCTCCTTAAGGCTCTAAGGGCCTTTTGCCTCTCAAGGTCTGTCCAGGCCCCTCTCTTGGGTAGCAGTGCTATAAAGACTTGCCCCCAGCTGCCTGTACCTTTTTTTTTTTTTTTAAGATTTTATTTATTTTTTCGACAGAGAGAGACACAGTGAGAGAGGGAACACAAGCAGGGGAAGTGGGAGAGAGAGAAGCAGACTCCCCGCCGAGCGGGGAGCCCGATATGGGGCTCAATCCCAGGACCTTGGGATCATGACCTGAGCCGAAGGCAGACGCTTAACGACTGAGCCACCCAGGCGCACTGCCTGTACCTTTTGAAGCATCTGGGAAGCAAACCCTGTTAACCAATGTCTTTAGCAGCTTACAAATTTTATGATGATACTTCTACTCAGAAAGAGCTAACAATGGCTCATGGTATTACATTTTAATAGAGGATTCTAGAAGATTAAAAGAACTTCAGTTCTTTTACTCAGAGGAATCAGTTCCAAAGGATTTTAGGCATTGCATTGGTCAAATATGGGGAAAATTTTGGATGGAAGGAGTCCTATAGCCCTTAATTATATACCTCAGACCATACTACACAGGACACTTCCTCCTTTTCCAAGTAAGTCTAGACCGTGCTAGAGGGGTTGGCCACACCTGAGACGGATGTCCTAGATTAGCATTCCCTCATCTTTTCAATGAACATTTTCCTAGTGAATGGAAACATGGACCCCAAAAGGACCCTTAGAGGTCATCCCTAAGTGGCCTTTGAAAGATTGAAGTCTTATATCTTAAAAAGTCACATGAACTTTTTTCTACTCCTGAATATATCCAAATTTGTTGGAAAGTAAGATCCTAAATTACTTAACATTTGGGAAAAGGATTTTCTAAAAAGTTTCCTACCATATCTGTCCATTCATTCCATAAATATTTGTCAAGTACCGTTCTAGGTCTGGGACAGTATCAGTGATCAAGAACTTCAAAGTTCTTGTCCTCCTGAGAGAAAAAATAAACTCATGAGAGAGAGAGAGAAAGTAAACAAATAATTAGCGATATGTGCTGTGAAGGAAAGAAAACACGGAGGTGAGATAGGTAACTCCTGGGGTGGTGGGTGAGAGGACGCTTTAGACAAGGCAGTCAGGGAAGGCCTCTAGGAGGGGAGTGACATTTGCAGCAAGACCTGAATAATGAGAAACCAAACATGAAGAGTCAGAGGACGTCCAAACATGACAGGCAGAGGGATATGAAGAATCTCAATGCAGAGGTCCTGAGGCAAGAATGAGCTTGGTGTGTTGAAGGAGTATTATGGAATATTAAGAAAGCTAGAACATATCAAGAAAGTGACATGTGATGAGGCTAGTCAGGGAGGCGGAAGGCAGATGAAGCATGACCGAGGTCAGGTAGGGAGTCTGGATATTATTCCAAGTGCAAAGTGAATCACTTTGGGGCTAACAGGGGAATAACAGGATTTGACTTTACATAAAAAAAAAAAAAAAAATCATCCTGGGGGGCGCCTGGGCAGCTCAGTCAGTTGAACGACAAACTCTTGATTTCAGCTCAGGTTTTAATCTCTGGCCTGCATGGTGCTCTGCGCTCAGAGGGGAGTCTGTTGGAGTTTCTCTCTCTCCCTCTGCTCCTCCCCCCGACTCGTGCATGCACGCCCCTACACAAGCACTCTCTTTCTCCTCCCTCTCTAAAAATAAATAAACAAAACTTTTTAAAAACTCATCCTGGCTGTTGTATCGAGAAGATATTGAAAAGTGGAGATAAAAGAACAGTTTGGAGGCTATTGTAGCACTCGAGGCTTGACCTAGGTGGTGCAGGAGACAGCAACAAACAGCTGTGTTTTAGAGGTAGGACCTGCTGAAGGATTCAATAAGAAATGAGGGGGAAATAACTAGGAATAACTACCTTAGATTTATGGCCTGAACAATGGTGCTAGCACTGAGATTGCGAAGGAACTGATGATTTGGTTTGATTTGGTTTGAAGGAGGTAGGTAGCACAGTGTCAGGAATCTCTACTGCATGCTTTGAGATCCAAGTAGAGAAATCAAAGAGGCAATTAGAGGAGTTGGGGGCTTGGGGAGAGACAGGACTATAGATGAAATTCAGGAAGAGTGAATATCAAGATTGGCATGGAACTACTCAAGATCACCTAGAAAAAGAGTTGAGATAGAGGAGAGCAGTAGAGAGAGGAAAGAGAAGAGAAAAGAAGGAAGAGAAGAAAGGGAAAAAAGGAGTCAACTAATAAACCCTTGATGTTCCAATATTTACAAGATGGGTAGAGGAGGAATCAGGCAACAGTTTGGAAAGGAGAGGCCTATGAGACAGGAGGGAAATCAAGAGGATGCAAGGTCACTGGTGTCAAGAGAGAAAAGTGTGTGGGCAGATAGAGGTCCAATGACTCCACGGCTGCATAGAGGTCCCGTAAGATGAGGACAGGGAAGTGACTGGTAGATTTACCTGCATGGAGATTATCAACCACCTTGAAAGTAGCAGTTTCATGGAGAGGGGCAGAAGCCAGATTGGAGGGGGTTGAAGAGTATGTGGGTAGGAGGTGAAGCTTTGGAGACAGTGAGTATAGAGCACACTTTGGGAAAGGCTGAGTGTGAAGTGAGCAGAGAAATGGGGAGTAGTTAGAAGGACACACCATGGGATAAAGAGAGGATGTGTTTTTGTTGACAGAAGATACCAAAGTGTGTTTAAATGATTGATGGGACTGATGTAGGAAAGAAGGAGACTTGGGTGATGCAGGAGAGTAGAGCTTCAGGGGTGAAGTTTGAGAACCAGAGGGGTGGGATCCAGTTTCCCAAGAGTTGACCTACCTTCAAAAAATGAGTTTAAAAGGTAAAAGTCCCAATTTTTTATTCTTTAAGAACATTCATACTATATCATGGGAGTTATGCCTGCAATGAAGACAGCTAAAGATGAGTGTTATATTTTATATTCCAGAAGTTATATCTAATCTTGATTCCAAGATTCTGAGTGTTTTGTTTTTCTTTTTAATGTATATTACCATTAGGTTGAGTTAGTAGGAACTGTACATGAATCATCAGAGTTCTTTTTCTTCTCTTTCTAAAATTTCTATCAGGCAATGCATTCGCTAGAGTAAAAATTGGAGATTACCATTACTATGGCTACGGGACTAAGAAAGACTACCAGACAGCAGCCACACATTACAGCATTGCAGCCGACAAGTACCACAGCGCACAAGCCATGTTCAACCTGGCCTATATGTACGAACATGGTTTAGGTATCACAAAGGTAATAATCCAAACCTAGTAACAGCAGCTGTATGGGAAGGGAAAATTTGTAAATGTTTTTAATTTCATTGATGTCATCAGTGTAGAGGAAGGAAGGAAAAGACAACATTTGCTGAGTCCCTCCCCCTGTGCCAACACATAAGAGTTACCCTAACATGAACCCTATG